GGATGTCATGTTTCGGTCCATCCGACGACACCAGGTTGCACCTCAGACTGTCCAGGAGCTCAGTGATACCCTGGTCCAGATCTGGGAGGAAATCCCCCAGGTCACCATCCATTGTCTCATTAGGAGCATGCCCCGATGTTGTCAGGCATGCATACAAGCACGTGGGGGCCATACAAACTACTGAGAACCATTCTGAGTTGCTGCAATGAAATTTCAGCAAAATGGACTAGCCTGCTGCATCATTTTTTCACTTTGATTTTTGGGGTGTCTTTGAATTTAGTCCTCTGTAGGTCGATCATTTTCATTTCCATCAAACGATGGGGCATCCTTACGTTCCTAACACATTACCCATCCATATCAGTATAGAGATCCAGCAGGAGATTCTTCCCCATTGAGATCTGATGGGTTCTGAAAGTGTTCCTCTAATTTTTTTGAGCTGTGTATTTATATAATATGACCCCACAACTCTATTAAATATATGTTATATATCTGCCTTCAGTTCAGCTTAAGGCCTCATGCACACAGGGAGTTTTTGAAGCCACTTTTAGGGACGTCAGGGAAGAAGAAAAACTTTGCAAGGAACAAACAGACAGTCTTAATAAAAAAATATGACCTAATAATTGTGGTAACTTACCTCCCTACAGCCATTCCCTCCAGGAACACAGCGGTACCAATAGCTGCCTTCTGTTCCTGCAATGATTTCAGTGGAATTAGTCCAGGGGTCAGCAACCATTTCCATATTAAGTGCAATGTTTACAAACATTGAACAAGCGGCATGCCAGTAAACAACAGAGCACTGTAGCTGCATTGTTATTCATTTTTGCACTCATAATTGTACTACAAATGGCAAGTTCAACTCATTAAATATCATTATACAGTATTAATTGGTACACACACAAAAAACACAAAACATATTTATATTTAGACCTCAGATCACCCCAATTCCTGCACCATCAGACCTCTAATTAGCTGAAATTTTTGTACCATCAGACCTCAGATCAGTCCCAATTTCTGCATCATCAGACCTCAGATCAACGAAATTCCTGCACCATCAGACCTCAGATCAGCCCCAGTTTCTGCACCTTCAGATGTGAGATCAGTCCCAATTCCTGCACCATCAGACCTCAGAACAGTCCCAATTCCTGCACCATCAGACCTCAGATCAGTCCCAATTCCTGCACCATCAGACCTCAGATCAGTCCCAATTTCTGCAGCATCAGACCTCAGATCAGTCCCAATTTCTGCAGCATCAGACCTCAGATCAGCCCCAATTTCTGCAGCATCAGACCTCAAATCAGTCCCAATTTCTGCAGCATCAGACCTCAGATCAGCCCCAATTCTGCATATCAGACAATTTCTGCAGCATCAGACAGCCCAAATGCATCCACTCAGAGATCAGCCCAATTTCTGCATATCAGACCTCAGATTAAACCCTGCCCAATTTTAGCACCAAATTTCTCATACCTCAGATCAGCCCCAATGCATCCACTTTCAGACCTTAGATCAGCTCCAAACCCTGCATCTTCAGACCTCAGATCAGTCCCAATTCCTGCACCATCAGACCTCAGGTCAGCACCAAACCTTGTACCTTCAGACCTCAGATCAACCTCAATGCATCCACCTTCAGAACTCAGATCAGCTCTGAACCCTGCACCTTCAGATAACAGATCAATCCCAATATCTGCACCATCAGACTTCAGATCAGCCTCAGTTCCTGCACCTTCACCTACCCAGTTCCTACAGCGTGAGACCTCAGATTAGCCCCAATTCCTGCACCCTTATAAGCACATGTATTTTACATACCAGCTGCGGGGTTTAAGCCAGTGGAGGAAGAGTGTACAGTAGGTGTGTTCCACATATCAACACCCTCAGCTAGCGGTTGAAAATCACTTTGATTGATGTCAGGGAGTTGAATGGACCTTGAATCAACCTTTATAATTGACAGCCGAGTGAGCTGTCAATTTATATCATATTTTTGTGAAAGTTTCCCTTCATCAGCCAAGAAGCACATCTACACAACTACTAATACAGTAAAAAAAAACCCTGTGTGAACTTCATTCCCAGACATTTATCCTGCCATAATATGGATGGCATTAGAGTGGAAGGGTGAGATGTGGGGTGTTGATGCATGACAACCAGACATTTCATCTCATCTCCTGATCTGCATCAGGACAACGACTCCTACAATCAGATTGGCTGCTATGGGCAGCTCTCCGGGGAATAATATTCATAGCTCAGTACTGAGATAGAACATTTATTGTGTCTCAGGTTGGATTAATATGGGAAACCACCAACCTGCCTATGTCCTCTGTATCCTCACTGTGCTCCCCTTCACCAGAAACACTCTCACTTCTGCTCTGCACTTCCACAGCTGCTTTCTAGTTGCAATTGTGACACCCAGCAGCATGGTCGCACAAGGCAAGAGCAAGTGGCGTCCAGAGGCGGGTGCGGCCCGCACCGGGTGACACCAACCACACAGGGTGACACCGGACCCACTCCACGAAAAGGTAAGTTGTAAAGCAAGCCGATGATCCCCGCAGGATGGATCCGATCGTGCAGCGGGTCCGGTGTCACCCCGTATAGGTTGCATGCCAACGATCCCCACACAATGGATAAGACCTTCGGATTGGGGAGCACAATGGATCGGACTCCGATCCATTATGGTAAATCCGCAGATCCAATCCATCCTGTGGGAATTGTCAGCTTCCTTTACAACTTACCTTTTTGTGGAGCGGGTCCGGTGTCACCCCGTATAGGTTGCATGCCGACGATCCCGCAGGATGGATAAGACCTGCAGATTGATAAGACCTGCGGGGATCGTCGGCATACAACCTATACAGGGTGACACCGGATCTGCTCCACGAGAAGGTAAGTTGTAAAGGAAGCCGACAATCCCCGCAGGATGCATCGGATCTGCAGATTGAGCATAATCGACCGGACTCCGATTCATTATTTTCAATCCGCAGATCCGATGCATCTGCGGGGATTGTCGGAGAGGGTATCACCAAATGTTACCGCACCGGGTGACACCAACCCTAGGGACGCCCCTGGCCAGAGCCACACTAATAAGGGCTCATTCACACAGGAAGCCAGTGGCAGTATAAACAAGTGGTTGAGCTGTGGTTTTACCAACCCCTGACCATCTACATGAAGAAAGACATGCAGCTGCTCAGGGCTGTGACACACTTTGACAGCAAACCTCTGCTTCGTTGTTCATCCTGTTAGGGGTGAAAACAGGCAGTGAGGAGGATACCCGTTCAACGTGCATAAAGGAAAGAATCGTATGCGCGGCCACAGAGAAAGTACAACTGAAACACAGCTGCAAACACCGAAAAGTGTTCCAGCACTCAAGAGGAAATCAAAACCAATAGATAGTGTTGTGCTATAGGTCCAGCATAAAGCGCAAAGTATTCTAAAAAACAAAATATTCTAACGATCAATACTTTCTTAGATTGTAAGCTCCCAGGATCAGGCCCTCCTATCCCTCTTGTATTGAACTGTATTGTTGCTGTATTGTCTCCCGTTATATTGTAAAGTGCTGAGCAAACTGTTGGCGCTATATAAATCCTGTATAATATATATAAATCCTGTATAATAATAATATATAAATCCTGTATAATAATAATATATAAATCCTGAATATAATAATAATATATAAAATCCTGTATAATATATATATCCTGTATAATAATAATAATATATAAATCCTGTATAATAATAATATATAAATCCTGAATAATAATAATAATATATAAATCCTGTATAATAATAATAATATATAAATCCTGTATAATAATAATAATATATAAATCCTGTATAATAATAATAATATATAAATCCTGTATAATAATAATAATAATATATATAATCCTGTATAACAATAATAATATATAAATCCTGTATAATAATAACAATAATAATATAAAATCCTGTATAATAATAATAATTAATTGAGAAAATTGAAATCCCCACCCAAATAAATCAAAAATAAGAAACAAACAATAAATAGGCAATATATAAAATAACTCAAATATATTAATGAATTGATATAGTGCACACCCAACAGGGTCCCATTGCTTCAGGCATGTGACGCAACGCGTCGGATGGAAGCGTGGCGACAGCATTTCCAGTGCCATGACGGCCACCGCCATCTTTGATACTCCATGTCTGATATGCTAGAAGAGGGTTTCTACCCTTGTGATCTATGTGAGTGCGGTTTTTTTTATGCTATAATACGTTTTATACAATACAATTTTGAGAAGCCCCCTTCGTCTTTCTTTCTGAGTACATCCCCAAGCCGGAGATTGGTTGGAGAGGAATTCCATCAGCCCTGACATGTGGAGGAAGTTTGGACATGCATCTGAGCATTTTTTTGACCTGTTACTCATAAGTCAATAACCAGGAGGTGAGTGTGCATGCTGGGTGATGGTGATCACAGCAGTGTACTAAGTACTAAGGGGGCGCAAGATCACTTTGGGGCGCATTTCCTGTAGTTTCAGGGTGCACAGGGCGCGCAGGGCGTATCAGAGGGATCGCAGGATCAGGGCAGTCAGGGGGGATCAGGGTGCAGGGACAGGACTCAGGGATCAGGGTGCAGGGATCAGGATCAGGACTCAGGGATCAGCAGAGATCAGGGGGATCAGGGTGCAGTAGGGTGCAGGGATCAGGACTCAGGGATCAGGGAGAGATCAGGAGGGATCAGGGTGCAGGATCAGGGTGCAGGGAGGGACTGGGATCAGGGCATCAGGGCTCACTCACCCCAAGCAGGGAGATCAGGAGCATCGGGGTGGAGCTTCCGGGGCTGAATTTCATATCTGGGGGCACCGGGGTGTGTGGGCATAGACCACCCAATCGAGCATGCCCCAGATGCAGCCAGTCGCCCCTCCACACGATTTGGGTACCCTGCCGTGCCATGTATATGGGGGGAATTCCCTGTGGGCCCTCCCAACCGTACTGTCGGACTCATAGGCGTGGCCTCCCGGACCAGTGAAGTTCAGGATTGGTTGGCGGGCTTGTCTTCTACAGAGCCCCGCCCAGAGATTGCGAGCAGTTCAAACGGCCGGAGAGAGGAGTCCGTAGTAGTAGCCGCGATGTACGTCCTCCTCCGCCGTCTCATCCCGGTACGGAGAGCCCTGCCACTGGCCCCGGGGCTGCGATACTGCTCAGGTGAGCGAGAAGGGGCTTCTCGGGTGATGGGAGGCCAAGTGTACTGACCGAGCCGGGGGGGCCATGTGATCGGAGCGGATCTTGCTACTACACCGGACTGGTCCGGGGTTAACCTCTTGTGTGCGGCGGAGTCAGGCGCTCCCCCTTCCAGGGACAATGGGGTGAAGGATGCCTATGGACACCCCCCCTAAAATCAGCTCTGCACCCCAAAAATAGAACTTTATGTATATCTATAGAATATGACGTCACGTGTATCATCGTTATTAATATATAACATTTTGGTACTTGTCTGTCAATTCATCGGATTTATATATATATATATATTATTTGTTTTATTGATCAGGGATATTGATGTCTCCGGAGCCACTGACTGCAATACAAAGATCCATTAGGACCAGGGGCGGACTGACCATTTGGAAACTCAGGCACTGTCCTAGGGCCCGGGGTCAGTAGGGGGCCCCATGAGATGCCCCTGGTACCTTTTTCATAGACTTTTTTGAGTTTGGGCAAGGACACAGGGGCCCCATGATCCCCTATTGCCCGGGGGCCCCATGAGTTGTCAGTCCGCTCCTGATTAGGACCGACAGCCTCTATAAACATGCCCAACGGGTGGGATGGACTCTTACAGCCCCCATAGGCACGCTGACTGTTGGCCCAACAATGACCAAATATGGAAGTGGTAACCAACCTCAGGTCCCCCCCAATCAGGTTGTGGGTTGGTTTTTTTTTTTTTTTTTTTCTTGGGAAGTTCCCTAAAGTTGGACATTCACTTTTTATAGATTTTTGAATGAACATCCATACAAACCTTTTCATCAATGGCTGGAGGAATATCATTCAAAAGTACTTTAAAAAAGTTGACTTTTACCATTCGGTTTGAAAGAGGATTTTCCTGAACGCAAACCACACGCCGGGTATACACTAGAAGTATGAACGAAAATTAGGAAAATTCATACAAAAGTTTGCTTGGCATTCAATTGTTCAAAAGCAGTTCAAGATTATGCTGGTCGTACATGTATAGATGGTGGTTTTTTTTTTTTTTTTAAGAACATTCTTTTGATTTTGTAATCGAATTTTGATAATTTTCTACCGCAGTGATGGGAAAATTTGAAGGATCAGGAAGTACAACTTCTCAAACAAATTTTCGGAATATGGTTTTCATTCAGAAATTACAGTCTGTTTATAATTTATTATACATTATTTATATAGCACCAAAAAGTTTGCTCAGCGCTGTACATTATAGTGGGAGACCGTACAATACAATACACGAGGGGTTCGAGGGCCCTGCTCCTTGGAGCTTACAATCTAGGAGGGAGGGGATAGTGGTACAGGAAGAAATGGCTGTGGGGGATGGAGTGGTGGGAGGAGTGGAGGAGATCGGCTGTTAGGTGAGGGCGGGGTAGGCTTCCCTGAAGAGATGGGTTTTCAGGGTGCGCCTAAAGGTGAGGAGGGTAGATAAGTCTGATGGATTGGGGTAGTGAGTTCCAGAGGATGGGGGAAGACCTGGAGAAGTCCTGGAGACGGGCATGGGAGGAGGAGACCAGGGAACTGGAGAGAAGGAGATCTTGTGAGGAGCGAAGAGTTATTATGTTAAAAGTAAACCGATATAGAGAATTAATTATATGTTAAAAGCAAAGTGAAATTTTCATACAACCTTGTACACCACGTACAAAGAATAATCGTACGATTATAGAATTTTTTTTTTTTTTTTAAGAACATTCAATTTTCTAAATGTTAAGTTTTTTGTTTTTGAAGATTTGAAGGGACAGAAAAAGTTTTCTCGATTTTCTACATCAGTGTTCAGAAACAAGTTGTGTTCAAAGTGAAATTTCATTCAACCTTGACCCATGCAATTTTGAAGGGCTATAGGTTAAAAAGATTTTCTCGATCAAGTTGATCATTTTCGACCGCAATTTTCTCGGACAGTGTATGTGCTTTTTGTTCACAAATTAGTCTGTTTTATAATTGACGTGTTAAAAGTAAAGTGACATTTTTTTTGAATGACATTGTGCACAACATACAAAGAATAATCGTACGATTTATAGAGGGGTCTTTTGTTTTTTTTTTTTTGTTTTTTTTTTTCTTCATTTAAGGAATATTTTGATTTTCTAATCGTGGAAACAAGTTGGTTCGTTTTCAACCACAGTTTGAAGGGGCAGGAAAAAAGTTCTCGATCAAACACGTTTTCAGACAGTGTATGTTGTTTTTGTTCAGAAATTAGTCTGTTTATAATTGATGTGTTAAAAGTAAAGTGAAATTTTTTTGAATGACATTGTGCACAACATACAAAGAATGTTCATATTACAGAAAATCTATACATGTATGGCCGGCATAAGTGTGCTTTCAACATTTGATTTTGGAACAAAAGGACTTTACTGAACAAAAACCACGCTCACTGTTAAGCCAGGCATACACTCGAAGAATTTTCAACAAAAATGAATGGGAAAATTTGTATGGAAATTCTCATGGCATTCATGTGTTCAAAAGTAGTTCAAGATTATACTGGCTGTACACCTATAAATTATATATATTTTTTTTTTTTATGTTCATTTTAAGAACATTCAAATTTTTAAAGATCAAGATATACTGGCTGTACACATACGGATTTTTTTTTTATACTGGCTGTATTTTTTTTTTTTTTTTTTAAATCTTAATTTTAAGAAAGTTCAATTTTCTAATCGTGGGATCACACTGTTTGTTTTTGACCGCAATTTGAAGGGGCAGGAAAGAAAACTTTTCTCGATCAAACACGTTTTCAGACAGTGTATGTGGTTTTTGTTCAGAATTTACAGTCCGTTTTTTTATAATTGATGTGTTTAAAAGTAAAGTGAAATTTTTGAATGACATTGTGCACAACATACAAAGCATGTTCATACGATTACAGAAAATCTATACATGTATGGCCAGCATAAGTGTGCTTTTAACATTTTCGAACAAATGGATTTTCCTGCATGAAAACCGGATATACACACACAAAGAATTTTCAGAAAATATTTTTTAGGAAAATCCATACGGAAATTCTCAGTATGTTCAAATGTTCAAAAGTAGTTCAAGATTATGCTGGTCCGTAGATTTTTTTTTTTGTTTTTTTTTTTTTTTGTTTTGTTTTTTGTTTCCCCGAAGATGTTCGATTTTTCTAATTGTGGGGTAAAATTGTTCATTTTTTACTGCAATTTTGAAGGAGCAGGAAGGAAAACCTCTCGATCGCACAAATATTTGACTGGTGTATATGGTTTTCATTCAGAAATTAGTCTGTTTGGAATTTTAAAAGCAAAGTGAAATTTTGAAATCTTGTACACAATGTACAATTACAGAAAATCTTTAAGTGTATGGCCAGCAATAAGTTTGCTTTTAAAATTTGATTTTGGAACAAAGGGACTTTCCTGAATGAAAACCTCACACACTGTCAGAAATTATTTCTAAAAAAATTTTTCATCCTGCTCCTTTCGAATTTCCTCATCACCGCGGTCAAAAACGAACATCGATTTGACCCCAGGAATGATTAGAAAATCAAACGAATGTTCTAACAGCAAAAAAGTCACATGACATTCTACTAGTGAGTACCCAGCTGTAGAAAGTTGTTGGAGAAAACATTTCCATCCTGATCCTTTTGAATTTTCTCGTTCCTGCTCCTGAACACAAATGTCGATTTGACGTGATTTAGAAAATCCAACAAATGTTCCTTAAATGAAAATGTTCAGCTAACAGTCTATAGTGTATGGTCGGCTTTGGATTCAATAGCAGATCCCAAACCATTGGCATAGATTTAAAGCTCCTGTACTAGGTGAAGGAAATCCTGAAAACATGATGTGTTGGGGGTACTTGAGAGCCGAGGTTGGGAACCCCTGGAATATGCCCATATAGGGTCAATGATGTCACCAGCATCTCCACCCCTTTGTTACCTGTAAGGTAGGGAACACCACGGGTGCTGCTAAATGGACCAGCAGCCTGCGATCATGTGACTTCCTCCGGGTTCAAGGTTGGCCCGAACCTTTGCTCACCAGCAGCCTGACGATCATCCCTCATCCTTCATGTGTGACCCGGATTACCTGTGATTGGCCCGAACCTTCACCTTGATTGGCCCGAACCTTCCCTCACTGAGGTTGGCCCGAACCTTCCCTCATCCTTCGTGACTTACCCTGTGATTGGCCCGAACCTTCCCTCATCCTTCATGACTTACCCTGTGATTGGCCCGAACCTTCCCTCATCCTTCATGACTTCACCCTGTGATTGGCCCGGCCCGAACCTTCCCGCTCCCCATGTGATTGGATTGGCCCGAACCTTCGCTCCCCCTGTGATTGGCCCGAACCTTCGCTCCCCCCTGTGATTGGAACCTTCCCTCAACCTTCGCTCCCCTGGATTGGCCCGAACCTTCGCTCCCCTGGATTGGCCCGAACCTTCGCTCCCCTGTGATTGGCCCTTCCCTCAACCTTCGCTCCCCTGTGATTGGCCCGAACCTTCGCTCCCCTGTGATTGGCCCGAACCTTCGCTCCCCTGGGATTGGCCCGAACCTTCGCTCCCCTGTGGCCCGATTGGCCCGAACCTTCGCTCCCCTGTGATTGGCCCGAACCTTCCCTCATCCTTCCTTACCCTGTGATTGGCCCGAACCGTCGCTCCCCCCTGTGATTGGCCCGAACCGTCGCTCATCCTTCATGACTTACCCTGTGATTGGCTATCTGTACTTTGTTATCACTTTTTTTTTTTATTTATTTATTAAATATTCTATATTTTGACTATCACTTTTCCTGAAGTTGTCCTTTTAGTTTCCCCGCCCCTGTGAGTGGCAGCCACATACCCAAATACTTACAGCGCAGCTATACTTCTTAACTGTACCTCCCTGCCCCGAATGGCACAATGTTCACAGAAAAATGTTACTGTATAAAATGCTAATTGGTAAGGGCTCAGTCACTTGGGAGGTTAAAGCACGTGGATGAGCCATGATCTTATTACCCCACCATTACTCACCGAAAGAAGGGCGTGTACAGCATGTTGCCTTTGGCAGG